GCCAGGGCTGCCAGGAGCGCCCGTTGTCCAGGGACTTCTCCAGGACCATGACGGTGGGCCGGCCGTACTCGAAGGTCACCACCACGTCGTCCGTCAGCTCCACGCTCTTGTTCCACGACAGCGTGATGTTGGCCTCCAGCGGGCTCGGGTAGCGGCTCCACGTGACGCTCTGCCAGTACGTGGCCAGCCCCTCGTCCTCCCGGTCGAACATGAGCCGCGGCGGGTGGGCCAGGTCCGGGTTGGAGGCGTCACACTCGTTACTGCACAGGTAGGGGTTCTCCTGCAGGCAGCAGCTCCTGGGCAGGTCCTTCGCACTCGTCTCCCCAGAGCGCGTAGAGGCCCGTAACATCCTAGCAGCACCGGGAGCCACTCGCTCGACTCTAAGCAGAGACCAGCCGAGGGGGGTGTGTGGGTCACCTGCTCCGAGGCCCCCCGTGGCTCCCACTGCCCGGAGGATGGAGGTCTAACTCGTTAGTACCCTGACCCGACGCCTGGAGCCCCGTCCCGGACCTGCTGGCTCCGCCCACCGAGCCGCCCGGCCTGCAAGCCCACTGTCTGAGCCTCTGAGCCTCTGCAGCCGCGTTCCCTCCCCTGGACCGGCCCTTCCCTCCCTGTCCGCCTCTTTAAACGGTTCCTGCACGGAGGTGTCTTCCTGACCCTTACACTGACCATCGTGGCTGCAGCAGGAGCAGGGGTGGGGGAGGCCACTCACCACAAACGTTGGTTGAACTAAGTGCCAGGCCCACGATTTTACGTTCAAATTCAACTCTCTTCCCTCTGATTTGCATCCCACCTCAGCCTGGCCTCAGGAGGGGGCGGCCCTGCCCAGGCCACACCCGCCTGTTGGCGCAGAGCGTGGCGGTCGCACCTGTCCCTGGCACAGCCCGTGTGTCCGCCTCATGTGGAACCTGGGCAGCTGGGGGTGCTGAGTGTTTGGGGTTCCTCTCAAGGGCGTGCACCTTTGTGACAAGTCAGTTCTAGGTCCTTGGCACAGGCCGGGCAGGCCCAGCGGGGGCGCTGGTGAGCAAGGCAGGGCACGGCCCCTCTGGCTTACAGTCCTCCCTCTCACGGGG